GTTGATGATGATGATGGTGATGATGAATATGATGGTGATGCTGGTGATGATGATGCTGGTGATGATGCTGGTGATGGTGATGGTGTCGATGATGTTGGAAATGGTGATGATGGTGATGGTGATGATGATGGTGTCCCGATGATGATGATGGTGGTGATGGTAATGATGATGGTGGTGATGATGCTGGTGATGATGGTGATGATGATGCTGGTGATGATGATGATGTCGATGATGTTGGAAATGGTGATGATGGTGATGGTGATGGTGTTCCGATGATGATGATGGTGATGGTGATGATGATGCTGATGGTGATGTTGATGCTGGTGATGATAGTGAAAATGCTGGTGAGGATGATGATGATGCCGATGATGTTGGAAATGGTGATGGTGGTGATGGTGATGATGATTGTGTCCCGATGATGATGATGGTGGTGATGATGATGATGGGGATGATGATGCTGGTGTTGATGGTGATGATGATGCTGGTGATGATGGTGTCGATGATGCTGAAAAGGTAATGATGGTAATGGTGATGATGATGGTGTCCCGATGATGATGATGATGATGAAGATGATGATTGTGATGATGGTAATGGTGGTGATGGTGCTGGTGATGATGGTGATGATGATGCTGGTGGTGATGGTGACGATGGTGTCCTTATGATGTTGGAAATGGTGATGATGGTAATGGTGATGATGATGGTGTCCCGATGATGATGATGGTGATGATGGTGGTGATGATGATGTTGATGGTGATGTTGATGCTGGTGATGATGGTGATGATGATGCCGGTGATGATGATGATGATGTCGATGATGTTGGAAATGGTGATGATGGTGATGGCGATGATGATGGTGTCCCGATGATGATGGTGATGATGATGATGGTGATGATGATGCTTGTGATGATGGTGATGGTGATGCTGGCGATGGTGATGATGATGTTGGTGATGTTGGAAATGGTGGTGATGGGGCTGGTGATGGTGATGGTGTCCCGATGATGCTGATGATGATGATGGTGGTGATGATGATGGTGATGATGATGCTGCTGATGATGATGCTGGTGATGATGATGATGATGTCGATGATGTTGGAAATGGTGGTGATGGTGATTTTGATGACGATGTCCTGATGATGATGCTGGTGATGATGATGATGGTGATGATGATGATCAAGGTGATGATGATGCTGGTGATGATGGTGATGATGATGCTGGTGATGATGATGATGTCGATGATGCTGGAAATGGTGATGATGGTGATGGTGATGATGATGGTGTCCTGATAGTGATGATGATGGTGGTGATGGTGATGATGATGATGGTCATGATGATGCTGGTGATGATGGTGGTGACGATGCTGGTGATGATGATGATGTTGTCGGTGATGTTGGAAATGGTCATGGTTGTGATGGTGATGATGGTGGTGTCCCGATGATGATGATGATGATGATGGTGATGATGGTGCTGACGATGATGATGATGATGGTGGTGATGTTGCTGGGGATGATGGTGATGATGATGCTGGTGATGATGATGATGATGTCGATGATGTTGGAAATGGTTATGATGGTGATGTTGATGAGGATGGTGCCCCGGTGATGATGATGATGGTGATGATGATGGTGATGATGGTGATGGTGATACTGGGGACGAAGATGATGATGTCGATGATGTTGATGATGATGATGATGATGGTGATGGTGATGGTGATGGTGTCCAGGTGATGATGATGATGATGATGGTGATGGTGGTGTTGATGGTGATGTATTTGAGAATGTTGATGATGATGCTGGTGGTGATGGTGATGATGATGTGGGTGATGATGATGATGATGTCGATGATGCTGGAAATGGTGATGTCTGTAAGTGTGATGATGATGGTTCCCGATGATGATGATGATGATGTTGATGATGACGATGCTGATGATGCTGGTGATGATGGTGATGATGATGCTGGTGATGATGATGATGATGCCCATGATGCTGGAAATGGTGATGCTGGTGATGGTGAGGTTGATGGTGGCCCGATGATGATGATGATGGTGATGATGATGCTGGCGATCATTGTGATGATGATGCTGGTGATGATGATGATGTCGATGATGATGGAAATGGTGATGATGGTGGTGGGGATGATGACGGTGTCCCGATGATGATGCTGATGAGGATGATGATTGTGATGGTGATGATGGTGGTGATGGTGCTGGTGATGATGGTGATGATGATAATGGTGATGATGATGATGATGTCGATGATGTTGGAAATGGTGATGATGGTGATGGCGATGATGATGGTGTCCCGATGGTTATGATGATGATGGTGTCGATGATGGCGATGTTGATGATGATGATGGCCATGGTGATGATGAGGATAATGATGATGATGGTGTGCCGACGATGATGTTGATGATGCTGATGTTGCTGATGATGATGGTGTCCCGATGACGATGATGATGATGATGATGATGATGGTGATGTTGATGGTCGTGATGATGTTGGCGGTGATGAGAGGATGATAGGATGATGATGCTGATGATGCAGATGAACATGATGATGGTGATGATGGTGTCCCGATGATGATGTTGATGATGATGTTGATGATGATGCTCTTGATGAATGATGATGGTGATGATGGTTTTTCGGTGATGGTGATGCTGTTGATGATGATGACGATGATGATGACGACGATGATGGTGTCCCGATGATGATGATGATGATGATGATGAGGTGATGGTGTTCTTGATGATGGTGGCCCGATGATGTTGATGCTGATGTTGATGATGGCGATGGTGTCCCGATGATGAGGAGGATGATGATGGTGATGGTGATAGTGATGGTTACGATGATGATGGTTTCCCGATGATGCTGTTCATGATGATGTTGTTGATGATGATGATGATGATGGTGTCCCGATGATGATGTTGATGATGTTGTTCATGATGATGGTGATATGATTTTTGATGGTGGTGTTCCGATGCTCATGATGATGGTGTCCCGATGATGATGTTGATGATGATGGTGGCGATGATGGTGTCTCGAGGATGATGATGACGATGGTGATGGTGATGGTGATGAGGTGATGATGATGGTGTCCCGATGATGATGATGCCGATGACGTTGATGACGATGATGTTGATGATGGTGATGATGACGATGATTGTATGATCGGTTGTGATATATCGAAATCGATAGTGAGACCGAATGTGAGATCGATTGTGCGATCGATAGTGAGATCGATTGCGAGATCGATCGTCAGATCGATTGTGAGATCGATCGACTGAAATAGGTCGATTGAGATCGATTGTGAAATCGATCGAATGAGATCGATCGGGCGAGACCGATAGTGAAATCGATAGTGAGATCGATAGTAAGACCGATCGAGTGAGACGTTGGTTCCTCCCCGCCCTGAACCTCTTTATCACCCGAAGGGTGGTCGCATAGGTATGTCAACGTTTTGCAGCTGTGGCGAAGGTGTATAAGTGTAGGCGCCTTTTAAGCGAGGCCATTGCCGCACACTTGGTCTAAAGTTTCTCATGTGGGGGGCAAGGGTCGCTTTTCATGCGCTCGTGATGACTAGGGGGGGTGGGTATCATGGCGGGGGCTATGCTATTTCCTCAGATCTCAGGGCGCCCCTTCTTAGTTCAGTACGTCCCTGGCCCCCCCCTTGGGCCGCGCACGTGCCGCCGGCCATGATTTGCCCCCCCCCCTCCTCTTGGACGCCCCCCTCTTGGTCACCCCCGAAGAAGGAGAGCCCGGACATGAAAGTCGTAGGTGGGCCGCTGCTTTCGGCAGCGGTGCCAGCGCGTGGAGCCCAGTCAGTCGATGCCTGGAAGGCGTGGAGCTCGTGCGAGGCATCGAGTCGACTCGTTCTGCCCAAGGCAAAGGGAAGGCAGCGCAGGGCTGGACCTGAACGGTGTTTTTGGCGATTTCTTGGGCCGTTTTCGTTTCGGCTTAGTTTTGCGGTAAAGGCGGATCAGAGACAAAAGCGAAGGAAAACGAAAATACAACGAAAACGAAAAACACCGTTCAGGTTCAGCCCTAAGGCAGCGCTTTGATGGTCGGAGTGGTCGGGGCTTCATGCAGAGCGCTTTGCAACACTCGGCGCAGGGTCCTCGCAGGGTCTTGGGACAGTGCTTGCGGCACCGCGGCGGACTTCAGGCTTCCGAGAGCGGCGCGCAGGCGCGCCGCGAAGCGTCACAGTTTGAAGTCGGTCCGCTCACGCGCGCACGATCTCGGCACAGCCTTGGTCCAGACTCACATCGTGGCTCGTCCTGGCCGACGTCCTGGTGGCACATTCCTGCAATCCCGATACGTTGAGGCGCTTTGGATGCAGCTTGGCTCACAAAGTAGCAGCAACCATCACACATGCGTCGAACACGATCAGACAGGTGCGTGCCGTGTTTCGTTTCAGCTCTGGGGCGGAATCCAGAAGGGAGCCCTCCTGACCCCTGCTGATTCCTCCCCAGATCAGTACATTGTTGATTGAGCTGTTCGCGCACTGGTTCCTTCAAATGCTAATTGAAACGCGTCGTCATGTTTTGGGACGACTGCTCAAAAAGGGTGCGGCAGTTTGAAGCGCAGAAGCAGTGTTGAACCACTGTGCTGCAAGGTCCGAGAGGGGATCCTGGGGCGTCTCTCCGTACTCCTGCTGGTACCCCCTGGGCGGTGAGGTCGTATATTATTAGAGTTGCGTGACTCTTTGAAAATTCTGTCAGGACCGATTGCTTAGCGTGTTGCGCCGCCGGTTCTGGCCCACCCCGCTTCGGCGCGACACGCTTATCATTTTCCAGTCCCCGAGCGTCAGTGTCTGCAGCTTTTCGAAGCCTCCTGATCCGCGGAACGGGGCGACACGCTATCCACTTGCACGGCGTAGCCTGTCGCCAGGGCCGCTGCCGCGACACGCTAAGCACAAGTTCCCTACTGTACCCATGCCGCGCGATGGTTGCACCATTGTTAAGGAAGGGAAGGCGCGTAGGATAAGCTTGACGCCCAAACGCGTGCCTAGGAACTGCACGCTTCTGTCGTGGTGGACGCACAGAGGTGACCTTCCCGAGACCACCGACACCCGTTCCCAGGCAATGTGGCTTGCTTAGACTTGTTCGTCAGCTCTCTGGGTGGGCCGCACACGGCCTGGCTCAAGCCAGCCCCGTTCCGAGAGAGCAGGGCTCAGTCACACCGCCCGCCCGCCTTGGTCTCGGCAGCTCGTTCACAGCATGAAGGATGACATTCAGATGCGCTTGCCCATGTTTGAGCTTGTGATCTTTATCTCTGAGAGGTTTCCACATATGCTCGCCGTCTTCGTGATAGCGTTATGTGCCGTGAACAAAAGGATGCGTTTGTTGGTGATCCTCGCCCCCATCATCGTATTGTCCGTCCTTGTTGGCCTTGTTTATTTCGAGTCCCACGAACTGGCTAAAGCGGAAGGCTACGACATGAGTGGTCCTACTTTGCGCGGGGCATTGGAGAATTACATCAATGATGGAACCGGGGATCTCATGCATATTCTTGAGGGCGGCCAGTATCCACCGATTTTCGGCAAGGTTGAGTTTCGCCGCTACTTAGGGACTTGGCTGGCAGGTACGTTGTTTCATGGCACTGGGCAGGATGCGGAGTATCTCCCAGAAGCCTACAACAAGGGTGACGATTGGTTCGAAGCCACACTTGGCGAGCCGATGGTGTACACCGGAGCCATTTACACGGGCCCCAACGAGACCATGTGGAGCGCCCAGCTCAAGAAGCTCGACTTCATCGCTCATGCCTTGGGTGTGAAGCCAGGGGACAAGGCAATGGACATCGGAGCTGGCTGGGGGCGGCTGTCCAACCACCTGGCCAGCAAAGGCGCAGACGTCACAGGCGTCCTGATGGCAAGCGACCAGAAGGCTTACGCTGACAGGATGACCAAGAAAGTTGGACACACCGGCAAGGTCAACATCCTTTTGCAGAATTTCTTTGATGTTGACATCGCCCCTAAAACCTTCAACGTCATCTCGTCTGTTGAGATGGCCGAGCATGTGGGCATCAGGAACTACAATCAGTTTTTGACAAAGGTGCACAGCCTCCTTGCGGACGATGGCACGTTTTACCTCCAGGTCGCTGGCCTCCCGCGAGGTTATGCGAAAGGTTACAACCACTACGAGGATCTCGTCTGGGGCATGTTCATGGATGAGCATGTCTTCCCCGGAGCGGATGCTTCTTGCCCAATGGGGTGGGTTATTACCCACCTTGAGCAGGCAGGCTTCGAGGTGCAAAACGTGCACAACCTTGGCGCTCATTATTCGAAAACTCTGCACCACTGGCAAAAGCTATGGGAGTCGAAGAAGGACTCAATCGTGAAGGTATACGGTGAGCGTTCTTGGCGACGGTGGCGTGTGTTCTTGGCATGGTCCGTCCGTATCGCCCGGCGCGGCGGGAGCACGGTGCAGTTCATCACCGCGACGAAGAGCGGCAACGAGAAAGCGCGGATTGCCGCACAGGATCGGCTGCTGCCAGGTCAGTTCCAGATTCCGAGCTTCCCCTCGAGTGGCCCCGGTGGCGGGCCTGATGGCTTCGTCGAGCCCCAGTAGGCTGGGCGCAGGGGTCCCGCAGGGCCACGATCGGGGCTGGCTGCGGCTGGAGCGGGGAGCGGGAACCTGAGCACAGCCAGTGTCGATTACTGCGTTGGCATCGACAGGCAGCTGTGCAATGCTCTGGCTGTATCGAAGACGCTTGCTGCGAACCACCGCCGCCCTCTGCCCTCTGGAATCGGCAATGCGGCCAAACGTTGGGCAATCTGTTGGTCAAGGTATTGGGTATGTGTTCCCACAGCTGTTGGGGAAACCTTTGGGGGAACATTTGGGAGAGGGGCAGAGAGAGGAGGAGAGGGAGGAGAAGGATGGCAACGAGGAGGAGGAGGAGGAGGAGGAGGAGGAAGAAGAAGAGGCCTCGAGGGACTCTCTTGGGGCCTCCTGGGGGCTTCCTGGGAGCCTCTGGGGAGACTCTAGGAAGCCTCTTGGCCTTCTGAGGCCGTGCTGGGGGCCTCTCTGGGCAGTGATGGGTTCCTTTTCGGGCGCTTGAGGGCCGTATTGGGGGCATCTTGGGCCGTCTTGGGGCCCTAGTGGGCCTTTTCACCAGTCTCGTGGAGGCCTCTTGGGCCGTGCTGGGGCCGTCTTGGTGGCCTTTGGGTCTGTCTTAGAGCGTCGGAAGCCCGAACAGGCGAGAACGCTAGTATCACATGACAAACCTACGGACAATCAATGGTTTTGGTTTGCTGGATGTAAACTGGGAGCCCTCAGTGGGCGTACTACGGGCCTCTTGGGCAGTCTGGAGGGCGTCTTGGGGCCATCTTGGCCGTCTTGGATGCGTCTTGGGACCATCTGGGAAGTCATCTTGGCCGTCTTGGAGGCCATCTTGGATCCCATCATGGGCGTCTTCGATGGTTTTTGTCCGTGCAGCTGGAGGGATGCGCCGAGACCCATAGGCATTGAGAGCCTGTAGACGATATCCTAAACAGTACAACAGCTTAGCACGTTGCGCACCCCTGTGATAAACACAAGCATAGGGGGGGCGGCGGATATCATGGCCTCGGCCTGTCCCTCCACCGCGCCTGAGTCGTGGACTTTCGGCTCGTCAGAGGCCGCTTGGGTTCGCACGGGGGGCCCTCTCCGGGGCCCCTCGCAGACAGCTTTGGGGGCCCCTTGGGGGCCTCCTGGAGGGGTCTTGGGTGCTTCTTGGGGGCCTCTTGGCGGTCTCGGTCTTGGGGGGGAAGGGCCGGGAATAGCAATTCGAGCTCCCCGTCTCGGAGCCGTCGTGGGGGGCTCCTGGGGGCCCCGGGGGCCGTTCTGGGACTCTTGGGCCGTCGTGGGCGCTACTAACACCGAACATTGGTTTTGTCAGAGTCATACAACGATTTGCGTTTTTGTTCAGTTCTTTGGGTATCGTGGATCAGCCCCTGGGGCCTCCAAACCAGACCAATATGTGCCCAAGAGATCTCCAGGACGGGCCCTGAGACCATCGTCGGCGATTTCGGGAGTTTGAACGCCTGACCACGCTCCCCAAGCCTCTGGAAGAATGACTCAGCAAGTCGTGAGGAACACCCAAGAACATCTGGCAATCGTGGGCTTTGGCCATCTATGTCATGGTGGCGGGTACGCTGAGCAGGAGATCGAACTGGTCTTCCACCAATGGGCTGTGCCTTCCCCTTTCCTGCGGACGTCAATTTTCTGCTTTGGAGAGGCCTAAGGGCTGCAAGCGGAGACTTCGAGCGGATCAGGGGCCAAAGCGCTCCTTCCGAGCCGGATTTCTCGGAGGGTCTTCCTGGCTCCCTCGGGCGGGGGGCGGGGCGCAGCGGCTGGGCCGGCCCCGCCTCGCAGCTCGGTTTTGCCATCTTGGGGTTCTCTGGAAGAATATTTTGGGGGCTCTCGTGTCAGCCCATTGAGGGAGCGAAGCAAGGCTTCAGGGGGGCGCCGACAGGGTCGGCGGATTCTCTGGGCCGGTTGCGCTCCTGCAGTCGCTAGTCACTGAGTCTGCAGCGAGCTGAACATGCATTCGCCATCCTCCGTCACCTAGGGGCGTGCCTCCTCTCTCTGCTTACCCGATCCTCCTTTTCTTCTCTCATCTGTGTAGCGTTCCATGCCGCCGATTCGGGATCCAGGTCTCTGTCTCTCTCTCTCTTTCTCTCGCTTGTTTTGTTTGTTTCTCTCTCTCTCTCTCTCTCTCCCTCTCTCTCTCAAAATCTCTATATATGCCTCTCTCTCTGTCTCCTCCTCTATTATCTATTGTACAGAAGTAGCATATCGTATGGGTGCTCTCTTTATCTTTTCTGCGTATCTCCATCTCTCTCTCTCTCTCTCTCTCTCTCTCTTTCTGTTTTTATCTCTCTCTCTCTCGCTCTCTCGTTCGTCGTTTTTATCTTCTCTCGTTCTCTATCCTTTATTTGTTTCTCTCTCTCTCTCTCCTCTCTCTCTCTCTCTCCTTTCTACAGTTATCATCCGCACCTCTCCAAGGGAGTAGAGCTCGGAGACTATAACTTGGTTATGTCTGCGATGTCGTCGGCCGTTTAACTCAGGACATCCTCAACATTTGAAAATCCAGACGCACCCCTCAATCAGATCGCGACGTCACGGTTCAAATACACACGGGTTTCCCACATTCGAAAATACATGTTCCTGTGTGTTTTCGGTGATGTGAGCCGCATTTTTCGAACTTTGCAGTTTCGATTTAGACAGTTTCCAAACATCGAGCTCATGTCGAATCTGATTCTTAGGAAACAACCGTTTCGCCCGAGACATCCTCCCAACATCGAGCCCCGACGTACAACACATACAAAATACGCACACACCACACACAACACACCACACAAAACACACACACACACAGAACACACACACAACACTTACAACACAGATAACACACCAGGACACACACACACACATACGCACACAGACACACACTTTTTGGCGATCGAGGCCTCGCGCGCAGCGACGAGGCGGAGCAAGTTGAGCAAACATAGCGGAACTAGCGCGCGCGGCTGGGCCCTCAGAACACAGACACAAACACACACACACACACATACACACGCACCGACGAGCACACACACACAAACGCACACACACACACACACACACACACACACACACACACACACACACACACACACGCAACGCACACGCACACGCACACGCACACGCACACGCACACGCAACGCACACACAGCACACACGCACACATACACACGCCGATTCTGTATAACACGCAGAACACACAGACGTCACACAAAATGCACAAAATATGCAACACACGCGCACACCACAAGTGATCACACAACACACATGCACACACACACACACACGCAGTCCACCACACACACACACACACACACGCATCCTGCACACGTCGTTGTATGGACCTGGGCGCGCACGTGCCACTTCTACATGATGTATGCCTCTGTCTCTGTCTGTCTGTCTGTCTCTCTCTCTCGCTCGTTCTATCTCTCTCTCGTTCTCTCTATCTCTCTCGCCCTGTCTCGTTCTATCTCTCTGTCTTCGTCTATTTCTCTGTCTCTCTCTCTCTCTGCTTCTATAGTTATGCACGTGGGGCGGCTTCTTGGGGGCCATACCCTGTGCCCGCGTGCGCCCCCTGGCCATCCGAGACAGAACGCAGTACTCGGAGGCGAAGCGCACATCGTCTTGGCCCAGGGGGGAGGGGTGTGCTCCTCCTCCTCCTCCTCCTTCTCCTCCTCCTCCTCCTCCTCCTCCTCCTTCTCTTCGTCTTCCTCCTCACCATCCACCTCCTCCCCCCCTCCACCTCCCTCCACCCTCCACCTCCTTCACCCCACCTCAGGGGGGTGTTGCTTCGCAGCGAATTCAGTTATGTTATATTCGGGGGCGGCAAGGATGGGCGGCAAGGATGGGGGTGATGACTAGGGGGGGATCTCATGGCGGGGGCCATGATATGTCCCCGGATTTCATGGCTCCTCTGCTTGTTTCATTGCTTTCCCGGCCCCCCCCTGGGCCTCGCACCTGCCGCCGGCCATGATTTGCGCCCCCACCTCGTGGACGCTTTGCCGCCCCCGAGTTATATCTCCTTCGCGTCCAACCTCAGTGGTGAAGACTTTGCGGGAAACCCGGGTGCACAAGAGTTGGATCGTGACACCGATGCAGGATGGAGGAGGGGGAGGAGGAGGAGGAGGAGGAGGAGGAGGAGGAGGAGGAGGAGGAGGAGGAGGAGGAGGAGGAGGAGAGGGGAGGAGGAGGAGGAGGAGAGGGAGGAGGAGGAGGAGGAGGAGGAGGAGGAGGCGGAGGAGGAGGAGGAGGAGAGGAGGAGGAGGAGGGTGGGAGGAGGAGAGAGGCGGAGGAGGAGGAAGAGGCGGAGGAGGAGGCGGGAAGCGGAGGCGGAGGAGGAGGAGGAGCGGAGGAGGAGGAGGAGCAGGAGGAGGAGAGAGGAGGAGGAGGAGGAGGGTGGAGGAGGAAGAGGCGGAGGAGGAGAAGAGGTGGGAGGAGGAGGAGGCGGGAGGAGGAGGCGGAGGAAGGAGGAGGAGGAGGAGGTGGAACCTCGACCTCCGACTCCGGCGACGGGAGGCCATGCGCTGCCTGCGCCTGCGCCGCACGCGCCGCCCCGCGGCCCCGGCGGCTTCCGGCCCGCGGCGCCGTGCGCTCCGTCGGCGGCCGTCGTCGGCGGGCCGCCGCCGGTCGCCGAGGCCGCGGTGCACAGGCGCCGCGCGGCCGCCCCTCTCGGGCGGCGGCGGCGGCGGCGGCGGCGTGCTGCGCATGCGATGGCGTCGAGCGGCGGTGCGGTGTGCCGCGTGCCGTGCGGCGTCGTGCCGCGTGCGGCGTGCGGCGTCGTGCGGTGCCGAGCAGCGGCGCGTGCCGTGTGCGGTGCGGCGTGCCCTGGAGGGGCTCGGCGCGGGCCTCTGGGAGGGCTGCGTGGCTCGCGTGGGCTCGGCATCGGACGCGGCCCGCGGCGTGCGGTGCCGCAGGCGCTTCTGGAGAGGCCTTGGGGCCTTCTGGCGGGGCGGAGGTCGACATTGAGTCGGATCGAGCCGGGTGGGCTCGGCGGCGGACCGTGTCGATAGAACCGAACGACGTCGGCCCTGAAAGCCTCGACCTCCGATCCTCCGTGGCCTTGGCCGGGGCGGCGGCGACGGCGGCGACCGCGGGGGCCAGGCGCGGTGGGGCGAGGGAGTGTGCTCTTCGTAGAGGGGGCAGAGGGGTCTCGTGGGAGTGGCTCGGGGGCTTCTTGGGGGGGTTCCTTGGAAGGGCGGGGAGGGCCATGGGCTTCTCAGGAGACCTTCTGCCATTGTGTTGGAGAGGGAGAGAAAGAGAGAGAGAGAGAGGAAACACAAAGAGAGAGAAGGAGAGAAATAAGCAGAAAGAGAGGGAGAAAGAGAGAGAGAGAGAGACAAGAAAACAAAACAACGATCAAGCCAACACATCGAGAAACAGCAAAAAGAGAGGTGTTTCCAAGAAGTGCGCGCGAACCCCACCCCCCCCGGACGGGGTTGTGGGGGGTGGGATGCTCCTGTGCGCGTTTCGCGACGCCCGTGTCCCAGCCCCTCCACCCTGCCTCGGCTGATCCCCAGGGCGAGCTCCTTCTTCGAAGGCGACCCCACACGCAGCCCGCCTCTTTTCAAGGGGGGAGGGAGTGTACTGGCGATGCGCATCCACGGGGACTTGCTCCGCAGTTCTGTGCATCGCACCGTCGCCACGCGATGGAAATACCATGCGTCGAGCGCGCGTCGCGCCTTGCGCGGTGGCATGTAACGCGTTCTCGATAACGAGATTGTTCGCGTTCGGGTCGGCGCACGGCGCCATGCAGACTACCGGCGCGCCGCGCCAGCGACGTGGCTCGGCGACGACACTGACTGCGTTGGCGTCGGCGCGCGGCGCCCAGCAGCTTCTTTGCTTGCCTGGGCAGCGCTCGCGCGCGCGCGGGCGAAGACTCGCGCGTCGGATGTGAGGCCCAGCCGCGGAACGCAATCGACCGCTCGCGCTGGGGTCGGCGCCCAGCGCCAATCCGATTCCAGCGTTGTTGGCGCTGGGGCCGGCGCGCAGCGCCAGGCATCTTCCTGGCTCTCTTGGCGAGCGCCAGTGCGCGCAGGGGGGCGATTCGCGCGTCGCGCGGTCGGCGGAACACAAGGCAATGCGTTGGGGCCGCATCGCGGCGCCGAGCCCCTGTCTCGCGCGGAGGTCGGCGCGTGAAAAAAAAACGACGCCAGCTGCAGTCGCCACGCAAACGCCACACGGGGGGGGGGGGGGGGCTGCAGGAGCAGACGTCCGCAGAGAGCGCCGCGTGCGAGCGGCGCGCCGAGGCGCCCTCGAGGGGCGCGCCAGAGAGCGCCGCGAGCGAGCGGGCGGCACGCGCGGAACCACCCTCGGCGCCTTTCGGGCGCGCCCCGCGGGCTCCCTCGCGCGCGTGCGGGCGCGCGCGCGCGAGGGAGCCCGCGGGGCGCGCCAGCGTGCGCCGCGCGCGGGCGGGCGCGCGCGAGAGTGCCTTCGGGGCCCGCCGATGGCTGCCGCCGCGCGCGGGCGGGCGCGCGCGGAAGTGCCCTCGGGGCCCGCCGATGGCCGCCGCCGCGCGCGGGCGGGCGCGCGCGGAAGTGCCCTCGGGGCGCGCCGGGCAGCGCCGCGTGCGAGCGGGCACGCGCGGGAGCGCCCGCGGGGCGCGCCTGCGTGCGCCGCGCGCGAGCTGGCACGCAGGATGGCGCCTTCGGGGCGCGCCAGAGAGCGCCGCGGGCGGACGGGCGCGCCCTCGGAGCGTCGGGCCGGGCGCCGCTCCCCCGATGGAATCTCCACGGACCGATCTGCAGCGTCGCCTCCTCAAAAGACCCCCGCGGCCCCGAGTCGCTCCAGAGAGGGAGCAGTGTCCACTGTGCTTCGCGCAAGGCGGGGGGGGCGTAGCCTGCCTTCCGCGCCGCTTGGAATCGGGCGAGCGAGCTCTCGCCCGCCGAGGTAGTGCATCTGGCACTCCGCTGAACGCTCTGGCCACTAGTCGCTCGCTGCCTGACGCTTGTCAGGACCGACGCTCGTTCCGGAGAGAAAGAAAAAGAA